GGACACAACAACTGAGTCGACTGGACGGGGATTGAAGCAGCGACCTTCCGGTTCCAGGACGACTCCCTAAACACTCTACCACAGCCACCACAAAACACACACACACACACACACACACACACACACACACACACACACACACACACACACACACACACACACACGCACATACAAAAGCTCATATCCCTGTGAGTAGGTGTATGACTCAGCATCAGCTAGACCAATTACAAGCGCGACTGACAGACTGTGCTTTAAACACGCAGCACGCAAACACGCCATCATCTGCACACATACAGGGTGCTAACAGCTTAGCTCTCACCAGCCCTCTCTAACCTTCTCAGCTGCGTGTTTCTCATGGCGGTGACTCATTTCTGTTCGCCAGCACACGAGGTCTCCTCATCTGCTCTAACAAGCATATGCAATCCTTAACAACCTGCAGGTTTCCTCTGTTTTGTTTTTCCCTAAATTAATTTTTTTTTCAATCAGTGCAAGCAGACATGTTCCACAACACTGGTGTCAAACAAAGATATGAGATATTAAACAAAAAGTGTTAAAAAATTTAAAACGACTTGACTTCTAGTCTGGACATTTTTCCTCACAACCAGGAAGCTTTCTCAATTACTCTATGAATTGAGAAACAAAAATGTTGCAGTTTTGGTCAGTCCTTGGGGGAAAAAAAGTTTATGTACAATCTTGCGAAATGTTGCACTTAAGATGTGTTTGACTCTCAGCTACTACCAGATCAAATTGTAGCTCAATATTTGTAAAAACTTTCAAGTTAGAGCCAGTTTTGTGTTTGCTAAAGTCAGTACGTGGCAGATATCTTGATTTGGACCCCAAAACATAATCAGTTGAAGATGTGCATCTATTTTTGTAAAGTTTCATTGAAATCTGTACAGTTGCTCATGAGATATTTTGCTAAAGGACAAACAAAGTTGGCTCAGAATGACAAAATGTCTGAGGGTTGGGCAAAATCGAGAATTAATCAAGATTAATTGCAGCATTTAGTCGATAACGAAAAATATGACAATTAATACATGACAATTGCACTTGTATCCTTTTGACTCCAGATCACCTATGTTGTAAAATTATTATAAATCATCTAACACTGCTTTGTGGTAGTGTTTCAGGTAGTTGGACAGATTTATTTATTTACCGTTATTTTACCAGGCAAGTCCCATTGAGATCTCTGATCTCTTTTTCAAGGGCAGCCTGGGCCTGAAGGCAACCTCGTACATGTTTTTTATTTTTTTTTGGGGGGGGG